CGAGCAGAAGCAAGCCAACCTAGTTGCCGCAACGGGCTGATTTTGGCATTGTGTACGACACACATATAGTAATGTTTTACGTGACTCTAAATAACCGCTGGGCCCAGTGCAATTAACCACGTGTGTATAATATAGTCATGGATCCTTCAGCGGTGCCGTAGGGAGAGAGACAGCCAGCGTCGCGCTTCGGAAACCGTCGACGCCTGGGACCGCTGTCTGGCAAGGCAACATTCTAGACGGAGGAGAGAGAGACGTGCCTGTCGCTACATCGGGAGAGCATGTTGTGAAGCACCATCATCTCAAGATCGTGACACACGCCTCCAACAGATGACAAGCGCTAGAAACTCCGTAACAGAGAAACATCCGCCTCTCGAGCGCAGCTGAATATTTATCACTGGATGTGCATGACACATGTATGTACATTCAAACATGTTGTTCAATTTCTACTTGAATGTCAAACCTATCGTCCACATGCTCAACTGTAGCTGGTTAGCACTACAATTGCCAGTATAGAACATACCAGGTCCATTTCTTTTGGACCGCTTTCTTAACCAGGCTTATAATAATAGGTTCTTGTGTTTGCCCTGTCCCAGTTGGGTCGCTCCCGCTCGTCAACGATGTTAAACATTCTACTAGTATCATATTCATGTTCACATTTCCTTTATTTGTTTTTTTGTGCCTCTTTGGCTTCCTCTATTCACATTCAACATTGTACATGCAGTACTTGCTTTGTGTGTCTGTCTGTTTGTCTGTCCACACGAGTTCTCTCACTATAGGCTACGCGGCGGCCCATGAGCAATACCAGCAGCTTCAGGGCAACGAAAGCATCAAAAAGGCAATTTTCCTGAAACGAATGCGTTCCAGAGATGCGAAAAAGCCAATATGCATGATCGCTCTGGCTCACCTCGACCTGATCTGCTCGCTCTGTGTACCTTGAAGGCACAAGAAGTCACAACGAAGGGCGTGTATGGACTCCCGCATGTTATCTACAAGTAGCTAGCCTGTGTCAGACTCCGTAAACAAATACTCTTGGCCTAACCCATTAATTAGCGGTACAGCGCACGCGCAGTGCGCCGGTAGTGTGCGTTTCATAAACCCTTGGCGTGCATGCGCGGCGAGGGGTACAGTAGTTGGTCTGTCTGTCCATCCCTCTGTGCGTCTGTAACCAGGTTTTCTGCCTCCAAGTTCAACAAACAGGTAAAAAGCGACACCAACGGGTTCAGTGCTACACTAGCTTTATTTTTTAAATGCCGATTTTCGTAAAGATGCCACGTTCGGAAGTTATGGCGTGAAAACCAAGTTAACAGGCCAATATGCACCTCGACCGGGTGCGCTTGTTCTGTGGATGTTGAAGGCTCAAGAAGTCGCAACAAACAATATGTATCAACTCCCGCATGCTATCTACTACTGTAGCTAGCCCGTGTCGGACTCCCCTTGAGCTACTAGCTGGAGACCACGAATAAACGCATACTATTATAGCCCAACCCATCAATTAGTGGTATCGCGCATGCGCAGTTCACTGAATACTGGACATTCAATTTTGTTTTAGTTTTTCTTTATCTAGCCTTTTCTTTGTTCTGTTTATTGTTTTTACAGACTGGTAGAGTTTCTGCAAAACCACGTCTTAAGTTTGTGTACATTATATTGCACCTTACTGTTTACACAGCTTGACCAAGTTCCCTGACCCTTATCTCTTTTGTTCTAGGCCTGCAGCAGCAGGTCTAACAATTGGTACCACCTCCATGAATGCCTTATGTATAGATTGACAGACTGCTAAATGTGTAATTTGTCTCAAGACTTGCAAACGGAAGTGCGAGTCTGCTCACTGGTTACTGAAAATGTGTGCTATATTCCTCATTTTGTATATAGGTAGTAAACCATGTTGTAGATAGGGTTGATCCAAGAGCTCAGCGCTTTCCCCCATTTGGACTGTTGCTAGGCCTAGATAAAAAAATTTATGCCAGCATAATTTTGAGTACCCTGAGAAATAATAAATGTAGAAAAGTTAGTACAGAGGTTAGACCAGGACCATTGCTGGTGAGAGGGGAAGTATAGAACTTTGTCCTCCATTGTAGTGCCTTACTTACAGTGGATGGTAATTGGGTATTTGCACAGAAATAGTATATCATACCAAGGTTTGGCAGAATGATTTAGGAGGAGGACAGCGGTGAAGACATTTAGACAATGATAGGTTTGAAAGAGATATATCTCCAATCAGACTGCGGAACAACCAATCAATGTCACATGCATCCGTAGTCTGCGGACTGTAGTAGGCGCGGCTTTGCATGCATCATACTGTGGATTGGATACCACAGATATCACATCAGTATAGGACCAGGTTTCACATAAGGACACCAGATGCACACCTTCCACATGTGGCAGGGTACGAGACTAACACTTGGTCTCACCACTTCCAAATATGCCGTGTCACCTGTGTGACATGCTAAGCAGAGGTGTTTGAAACATGTTATTTTCGGGACTTGGCAGCAGTTAATGTTATTATGTGGAGTCACTACATGAACATATGATAGAGATGGGCAGAAGGGTGTCTTTAGGCCATCCGGACTTGTAGGAAATGGTCAGCATTATGATGTAGAGTAACTCGGTGAGCATATGGTAGAGACGGGCAGAAAGGGCCTTTAGGCCCTTGGAACTTGTAGGCAATAATCAGCATTTATTATTACCCTCGGCGCACATGCGCACCGAGGGTACGGTAGTTGGGTTGTCTGTCTGTCTGTTACTCAACATCTCACTTCTGAAATGTGTTAAACGATACTACCTACTTAACGGGCAATGAAGGTCAGAAAATTTATGCGGTTTTCTCTGAAAATGCTCCGTTGCAAAGCTAGAGCGCTCCCAGCATAGTTGCCTAGTCGGCCATTTTTACTCTGCGGGAACGCGCATGCGCCTGATCTGTATCAAAGGTCTGCAATCTCATTGTATAAATACATTTTAAACACCCAATCGCAGCCTTCATTCAAGAGAGATTTGATCTGAAGATGATACTTCTATACTACCTGCTGCAGTGTCTTCTTTAGCTGCAATCGCTGCTTTATACATTGAACTCTTCTCGTGTTTAGCAATTTTGTCCCTTCTCAGTGCAAAGCAAGGCGTACATTAGCTACCCCTCCCATTTCGTGGTGTTTTGCCATACTGAGAACATACTTTGCATTTTAGACCTGTCCTACTGTGTTCATCAACGCGCTCTGAACTCTTTCAACCATGATGAATTGAATCCACTACTAGTGCGACGAACTTCACGCTTAGCTGGCAGGGGCCCCAGGTCGATACCGTCAAGTCCTGTTCCCCGTCTGTATTCGAAGAAAGGACACCTCCCTCTGTCGCTGGTGTAGGCGCTCGTGGAGCTACTAGCGGTGGTCGTGGTGCTACTAAGGTTTGGATATCGGGGCTTGTTCCATCGTTAGTGTCGAAGATTGCTGGTTGCACGTTGCTGGACGCTGCCTTGCTGTTAGCTCGTCGCTGGACGACGACACGTGTTACCTAGCCTCAGGCGCGGCTCCTGTGCCCACCGCTGCACATGCGCGCTAAGGCACAAAATGTGTGAACAAGGGCGCAGCAAAATTTTGTAAAGGTATGTAGGAAAATAAGGGAGGCAGGGGGGCCCTGTATGCCGCTTTAGTGACAACCCTGGATGTGCCTCACTTTGTAGCATGCTTTCCTTGTGTGCCTTTCACGAAAGGCTGTGTAGGTCGGTCTTCCTCAACTTTACTTACATGGAACCCTTCTCTAGCGGCCTAAAGTCGTTCAATATCTGTTCTAATGCGTCTTTACGGTGCCCAGAAACACTGCATCAATCGTTTTTACCCCGTGGTTAACGCACTCGTAGGCGGCTAAAGATGACATTTACAAATGCACCATGGGAGGATACGGCAGTAAGCGGACAATATTCAAAGATGTCTGGTATCGCACGGATTTCTAGTGTGCCGAGGGTTTGCACTTGCGTGCCGGCAAGGGTGGCATGCGAAATTTACGCCTAAGTGCAGAAAATTAATTAGTGATTAATTGCATTCCTGCATAGGGGTGTATAACTGCAAGCCACCTGCAACCGGTGTGGTCGGTATAAACTTGGTTTGTAACCAGTTTGAGTGCGGTTGCATAAAGGCATTTTGCCGGTCACTTTTGAATTCGTGTACATTTTGGCAGACTGGAGCATTTCTTGAAGGCCAACGCGTACGACTTAGTGTGAGAAACTGTTGCTTCCAGGGGTTTAAACCTAAGCTAGAGAGGAGCTGTCCGAACCGTGGAGATATTTTCCCAGCACCACTCATAGTGTAGCCTATGGTTGGCAGTGGCAGCCCGGCTTAAACCACTAAGAGCTTTCTAAACTTGAGTATACACTAGCGTAGCATTCCCATTGCATTTTCGCTGGTAGCTGCAGTCGAGGTACTGAGACCACTTCCAGCTGAGGGTGTGACACGCTTCGTGTACTGGGCCGCCATGATGCACAGAACTTATCACAACTAAACAGCCGTTTTCATGTACTTTAATATTGGTTAATTAGGTCGACCGCAGAGTTGATACAATAATTAGTCATTGCGTGTGCATATTGCAGCCCAGCATGCACTTGAACCAAAGGTGCCGACAAGGTTATTAACCCTCGGCGTGCATGCGCAGCGAGGGTTACAGTAGTTGGGTCTGTCTGTCTGTCTGTTTGTTACTCTCCATCTCACTTCTCGACAAAGGACACGATCTACTTAACGGGCAATGAAGGTCAGAAAATTCGAACGGTTTTCTCTGAAACTTCTCCGTTGCAAAGCTAGAGCGCATCCAGCATTGTACGGCTAATGCCGGTAGACACCATTTTATCGCTCCGGAAAATGCACATGCGCTTATATTCAGCACAGGCTTACCTCGACCGGGTCCGCTTGCTCTGTATATCTTGAAGGCACAAGAAGTCACAACGAATGGCGTGTATCGACTCTCGCATGCTATTTATTACTGTAGCTAGCCCGTGTCAGACACTCCGCAAGCTACTAGCGGGAGACCACGAGTAAACACACACTAATAGCCCAGCCCATCAATTAGTTGTACTGCGCATGTGCAGTTTGCCAATGGTTTGCACTTTAGTGCTTTTCATTGGCCCGCTGTGTAGGATGTTAATATATTATTCAATGCTAATACGCCCTGCAGTCATCGTACCATAGTAACAGGTGCCATTGCCATGGTTATTAATCGGTCTAGCCTATGTGGTACAAATAGCCTTGTCGGCGCCTTTGATAAGAGCTGGGTTACAATATGAATTTAACTCTCACTAGAAATGAAGAATTTGTGTAATTTCACTGCCTTATTATTTTGTTTTATAGAATATTGACAGTGAGCTGGAAATCCAAGCAATGGTAATTTCAAGCGAGTTTTGGCCAACATTTAGGGAAGAGAACTTTCAAATTCCAGGTTTTGCTAAAAGGTAATAAAGTGCATATGTTTTTTTACTCTGTGTACAGTAAGTTATATACTCATTGCATGTGTATTAAGTAGTTTGCCAGACTATTCTTGCACTAAGTATAACCAGAAATTAAAAACCAGTTGTAAAATAGATTTGCATGGCTATAGAATGGAGAAGGAAGAAACTGTGGAGCCTCCTCTAACTAAAGGTTTTTGCAGCCATCTGTAGACACAATTATTCAGTAGCGCAGAAGTGTTGAGTAAGCAGTATATACTCCTCTGATATTCTCCCCGAAGGCCAATGAGAAGGCCCAAAGTTCACATCTATAAATGGTTTGTTGCTCTCAAAAGTGACATGGGAATGCATGGGGGTGGAGGCTGTAATCTTTTTGAAGTGAATTAAGGGAGGTCTCTTGCAAATATAACCCAGAACAGGTGTCTGAACTTTATCTTCAGTTTGCAGCTATAAAATGACTCCATTTTCTTAGTCATTGTACATGCATCCACTTATGTGTTATATTCCCTTTATACCTGCAGGAAAATGGATCTGTATTCAATTGAGTACAAGCAATTAAAAGGAATGCGAAAGCTGGACTGGAAGACTGGTTTAGGAACTATAGAAGTGCGTGAGTGGGTTATTTTGTTATTGAATGTACTGCTGCATAAAGTGCACATGGACACCAAAACTGAACTAAGGAAATGTTCATATTTTACTGGCATTTGCGCATTAACTAATACGAAGACTCTGAATAAGGTAGCGTCTAATAGTCTTGTAATGAAATTCCAACGCAGGTGGGACTAGGTTAACGTGGACGTCGAGCGCGCGCATCGGTCAGTCGGGGGTCGGAACGCCCCAAGACGAGGTCCGTCCTCTCAGGAGGCCGCGCATGCACGAGACCAGCCGGTGCACAAGGCGCCAGCCGGCCGCGCCGGCACGGCGGTTGCGAGTGAGGCGCAGCCTAGAGGCCCGCTCCATGGCGGCATAAAAAGCGCGCTATGTTCGAATCCTGTCAGCAAGCGTAGCTATTGCATCGCCTGGTCGCGGTTCCTCGCAGTAGCATTTGTCCAAGAGCATCGTTCTTCTCGCTGATTCCAGCCCCCTCCCTGTTCTCCGCCGTCGTCGGTTACCTCTTCCACATCTCACCATCTCCCCATATTTCTGTGTCCCTACCTTCCTCACAGGGGCGAGGCCTAACGCCAGTTTGCACTCAGAGTCGCGGTATTCTGTTCGAGACTCGGACAGCGTCAGCAATGGCGTCCTCATCCAGCTCAACTGCTCCTCCGTCTTCAGCGGCGGTCGCCATCACGACGACGGCAGCCAGCAGCAACCCCGCTGGGACAGCGGTGGTGCCAGGGTCATCCGCGCAGGCTGACCTTGCCACCCGTGTATTGCAGACGATGCAGTCGGCCAGGCGTCTGGGTGAACCACCCCCGCCTACTATCATCTCTGTGGCACCTCCGGTGGCGGCAGCGCCTACCGTTGTGTCGGGTGAGTTGGGGGCTACGGCGGCACGATGCGCGGCATGCAGCGTTTGGCAGCAGGAGCGTCTAGCAGCAGCAGCAGCGGTTGGCAACATCAGCAGCTGGTGTGCTGCGCCTGAGCAAAGCCTTGTGGAGATGAATCTCATTAGTTCAAAACCACAAGTGCTGCGCTCAACTTAGCCTTTATAAACTCGTGGTGCCAGAGAGAGAAGTTGTGGTATGCTTTGCTGTAGAGGGCCAACAAGCCCGAAACAGCTGTCCAGAGCTCCACATCTTTTTTCTCTTGGCATCACATGGTGTAATTGTTCATGCGTCTAGGGCTAGCAAGCTTGCAGAGGAGGTATAGCTCAGCTACGGCCCCAGCGATTGGCATCCAGCCTTACAAGGCATGTAAGTAAGATAATGGCGCAGCTACTAGGGTGTTTATTGTTCATGGCTAGTCATCGTCCGCGCATTCCGCTAGCTGGTTGTGGCGTCTGTAGCGTTGCCAGCCCTCGCGGCTAGCGCGGGTGTGACGGTCGGGGTGTTCAGCCTGCTCTAATTTTCACCAATAGCCTCGACACCGCGGCGGTCACTGGGCGTCCTGCCGAGTGTGTTGCCGGCCCTACCAGTGGCAACGGTAGCTGGTGGGGGCGCTGTCTCCCTCTCTGGGCCACTCCCCCCTGCCTCAGCGACACCTGCATCATCGTCACACTGTCACCTTCTAGCAGCTGGCGGTCTCGGGGAGAATCCGTTCGAGGCGGCGTCATCATCTGTCGATGGCGGACTAGCATCCCTTCTGCTGCAAGCACTGCTGGGAGCACCTCGGGCAGCATCATCGGTGATGACTAAGTGGGTCCTGGTGGCCAACGGCATCCCGACCATCCCCAAGACCCTGCTGCTAAGGATTAGGCGTGGGGAGTACGTCGACTTTGTGGACCTCTTGCCAGCAGTCAACACGGCTGACCAGTCCTCAGCTCTCGGCGGCCAGATCGCCAGATTTTCGCTGCTTCCTGGGTATGAGGTGGTGCACCGTCGCGGGCCCAACATTGCGACAATCACGGACTGGATGCAGGCCTTCATCGTTTACGCTGCGGCGGTGGTGTCCGCCGACACGTCCAGGACGTTTGAGCTGTTGGCATACACCTTGACGGTGATCCGGGCCAGCCAGCATTTTGGCGGCCTTCACTGGCGGGCCTACGACACCCACTACCACATAAATGCGGCAGCCTCCAGCAATCGTTATTAGTCGAACCTGGACACAGATCTGTACACCCGGTTCTTCACGGGAAGGGCGAAACCGGCGGCACTATGCTCCAATTGTGACAGCTCGGCCCACTGGGACTCGGATTGCCCGCATTGTCCTGGCCCGTCAAGAGGATCCCGCAAGGCCTCCAGCTCGGGGGAAGCGCCGCCAGCCAAGAGACGCCCGTGGCCAGCCGATACCTGCTCCCAGTTCAATGCGAGAGGCACATGCTCGTTCGGCGAATGGTGCAAGTACCGGCATACGTGTGGGGAATGTGGGGGCGACCACCCAGCCCGATCTTGCTCTTCGGCAAAGAAAGCATGACTTGGTGCCACCACGCCGACCTAGTTGTTCGTGTTGCTTGTTTTCCCTCCTCCCCCTCACCTGTGGTTGTATTATCAGTCACGAGGTTCCCCTATGCGCTTCAAGTAATGCTGTTGCTGGTGCACTTTAGGTATATAGCTACTGCAGGGATTATTATTTCTTCCCAGGCTGTATAGCTATCGCGCAGTTGGTGGCCAGGGCGATCATGCATTAGCCTAAGTAGTCGGCGCAATAAGAATACCCAGGCCAAGAGTGTTGGCATGTACCGGGGTATTTTGTTTGGCTAGAGCCGTCCTGTCTCAGCAGAGCACAGTGCATTGCATGGCGTATGGGGCTCGGCGGGGGGGGGCATGCGTAACAAATCCTCCACCCAATGGTTGCGGTAGCTCGGCGGCCGATAGTAATTAGGGCACGAGGCTTATGTAGTATATACCTTTCTCGTACAGATCCCAAGACTACATCGTCCGTGGGATCAGCCGGGGCTTCCGCATCGGCTTCAATCGCCAGTCTGGTCCGGCTCCTCGGTCTTGCCGACAGAACATGCGCTCAGCGTATGAGCACCCGGAGGTGGTCTCTGAGTACCTGGCCCAAGAGTGCCGGGCGGCCCGTGTTCTGAGTCAGTTTCCTGCCTCTCCGGTACCGCAGCTACAAATCAGCAGCTTTGGGGTTATTCCGAAGCGCCACTAGCTGCGGAAGTGGTGCCTCATCCTGGACTTATCCAGCCCGGAAGGTCACAGCGTCAACGACGGCATAGACCCGACGGTCTGCTCCCTGAACCTCATCTCGATGAGCACCATCGCAGAGGCGGTGTCGCCAGATACCGGTGCATCCCGATGACCGCCCTTTGCTGGGAATGAGATGGCAGGGGCAAGTGTACGTCGACGCTACTCTCCCGTTCGGCCTCCGGTCAGCACCATTAGTGTTTTCAGCAGTAGCTGACGCTCTGGAATGAGTGGTTCGGTCCAGAGGGGTGCGCTACATATTCCACTATATCGACGACTTCGTAATGATCGGTGCACCACGGTCCGACGAATGTGCACGAGCGTTGCGACTGTTCCTGTCAACAAGCGAGGCATTGGGCATGCGGATCTCAATCGACATGACCGAGGGTCCGGCGCCGCGCTTGACCGTACTGGGTATCCAAATCGACACAGTGGCCATGAACCTGAGTTTAAGGTCTTTGCTCCGAGAGAGGCGCGGACGCGGTGCCGCAACTCGCAGAGATCTGGAGTCCCTGGTGGGGACCCTTCAGCACACGGCATCCGTGGTGCGACCCGGAAGATTATTCCTCAGGAGAGTTTATGATCTTCTGGCCGGTACCAGCCACTTTAAGCAGGTGCCACGGGCCTCCTCACTTCCCACAGTCATCCCGCCAGATCTGCCACAGCAGCTGAGTCGGGACGTCCCGCCAGGACCTCGCAAGACTGGACGACCTGGTTCGACTGTTTCTGCAGAACGCGGTAGCACCGTCGACTCGCCGGACTTACCAGTCAGCTCAGGCGCGGTATCTGTCTTTTTGCTCATTGTTTCGTCTGAATCCTTTACCTTTGTCCCAAGATACTCTAATGAAGTTTGTCGCGTGGCTAGCAACCCAGGGCCTCGCACACTCCTCAACAAAGGGGTATTTATCGGGCATAAGGCAGCTGCATGTGAAGCAGTATGGCGTCGAGCCTGGCATCGGGGGCATGCCACTTCTCCATGCGGTGCTGCAGGGGGTGAAGAGGCTCCAGGCGACGCCCATCCGTTGCCCGCGTCTGCCCATCACGAGCTCCGTGTTGAGGCTGCTCAAGCTAGCCTGGGAACGGTCTGCCGGGGCGGCCTCTTTCGATATGCGGATGCTGTGGGCCGTCGCGTGTACGTGCTTCTTTGGATTCCTGAGATCGGGCGAGGCAACTACCTACGTTATCAGGCTACGACGCGGGGGTGCATCTGTCCATAACCGACTTGGCCATCGAGGCTCCGACAGCGGTCTCACTGCGGATAAAAGCGTCCAAGACGGACCCATTCCGCGCGGGAATCACCATTCACCTGGGACGTACAGATCGGGACCTGTGCCCGGTAGCAGCGCTCCTCGGCTACGTTGAAGTTCAAGGGCTTCAGCCAGGTCCGTTGTTTGTCTGGCAGAACGGCCAGCGGCTGACTCGTCAAGGACTCGTCAACCAATTGAGAGCGGCGCTGTCATCAGTTGGGGTGGACCCCGTGCCGTATTCGGGGCATAGTTTCCGCATCGGAGCAGCGACGTCAGTGGCGGCGGCCGGAGTGGAGGACGCGGTCATAAAGATCCTCGGCAGGTGCTCGAGCTCCGTGTACCTGGCGTACATGCGCATCCCACGTGAGGGGTGGTGACGGACGTGTCGTCCTTACATGTCCCGTATATACATTATCTGTCTTGTGACAAAATATTAGTATTAGGGGCTATGGTACTGAAAGGTGTGTGTGTGTGTGTGTACAGTATATTGTGTTTTCAGAGCTAAAAGCAGTCATAGCTACACAGCGCTTGGAGGAGTGCCGCTTCACGTCGCCCTTGGGAGCATTTATGGCATAGACCACAAATTTACGGACCTCCAAGCGCAATAGAAATTTAGGCAATACTACGCGGCGCGCAAAGTGGTTAATGGATGCCACTGTGTATCCTTCTGCTAGTTAACTAATTTCTGTGAGCACAAACAAGGATTATAATTACCTGTGATGTTGTTTCCAGGGACACATGGTACATTTCGTAGTCCACCTTTCTCAGCGATGACCTGTGTGCAATGGTGGTATTAAGAAACCGAGCTGATCAGAACTTAAGGTCACAATGGGCAAAATATAGAAAACGAAACAATAATGAAATAAAATAGTGGAGGAAATGAAAAGGATAGAAGAACACTTCAATGCTATACATGTGGTTCCCTGTTCAAGCTGGAATGTGCCAAGACTGCAGGGCATACCTTCGGAACTGGTTGTTCTCATGGTCAAGGATTGAGGTAGCCTGGAAGTCTCTTTGATGGCCCAATTTCCAAACATGCTCAGCCGCAGCGGACACATCAATCTTTGCATGTTTCACTGCTGCCTTCTGCTCACTGAGACGTGTTTCCAATAGGCTGCTTGTCTGGCAAACGTAGACCATAGAGCAGATCTTGCAAGGAATACAGTTAGACTACGTTGAGAGGAGGAACTGGGTCTTTTGACTCTGACTAGTTGTTTTCGACTGGTCTGTGTATTCTGTTTATGACAAGTTTACTCAGCTACCAAGGCTTATGTGATCTAGTATGGGAAATGGTAGACTCCTGGGCTAAAAACTCCATGGTTTGTGCAAAATGATGCGAGTTAAAACAAGAGCACAGCATCAAATGTTTGTAGTTGTGGGCGTTTTGTTTATCAATAACCCATGCACAATTTCTTGAAATGCAGGCGTGAAAGGGCGTACCTTTTTTGCATTTTGCATAGCGCTCTAAAAGACTCAGGTACGGAGGTGTAGTTTTTGCCAAAGTATAGAGCTTGCATTATGCATGACAAAAAGCGTAAAACTGGACTTCAAATCAAATTTTTGCAATGCATCCACAGTTACATTTTCTAACTCTGTTTTATCCAGATAGAGGTGAGTTATGGAGAAGAGGTTATCACAATGAGAGTTTCACCACTACGTGCTGTTATTTTGCACCAGTTTCAAAATAGCAGTGAGTTTATCACTAATCATTGCACTTGGCATAAATATCAAATGCTCTGCCACGTGCGTTAAATGAACACTTGCTCATGTAGCACAGTGTTACTCATACATCACAGTTTTTCCAAAATGTGGTATCATGAATGGCTGCCACTTCTCGGGCACAGTGAAAGCCCGACGAGGCTAGCAGCGCAAAAGCTTTTCTTCCCAGGGCTTGGCGACGAACAGCAACAGCCTTTTTAACAGCAGCTTTGTTAACCCTAGGCCTATTGTCTTGGCCATTGCAGAGCATTGTCGTCACATCAAAGCAGCGCTGAGTGGCGAGGAGAGATGATCCGCCCCGCCTACCTTTGAATCGCCCACAGTACAATTAAAGCATAATATAAGGGAAGTGGTGTATGCCCGTAAAGGTATTCAAGGCCCTCTCGTACCTTTATTACACATACTACCCTGCGTTTAATACATATGAAAGTACTTAATATGTATCGATACAACAGGTCATCCAAAATTGATATTTGTTTCAATCTGATCAAACTACATCTGCCTAATCCATATGGCCTGTCCATATGGCCTGAATTACAGCATAATCGGTCATTGATCTATTTGTTGCAGGTGAATGCTCCATTGATTTACTAACACAGTCAGTCAAGGCACCCCCTAGTGTAGTGAAAAGAAACGTTGGATTTTGGGTATCTCAAGGTCTTTTGAAAGAAATCTCATCTGATGTATATAGGCTAATGCAGGAGTGGAATTTTGATCATAAGGCTGCTGTAAAACGTAAGTCAATCTCTGCAGTAGTAAACTGTATAGTAGTTATACCTGATGCATATTAATCCTTAGTGCACGTGTGCAACAGTCTTTGGTTTGTGAGTATATTCTGCAATCGTGTCATGCAACAAGCTAGGCAAATGTGACAGGCTCTGAGAAAACGACCCTTATGACGCATATTCGCGAAATATATTTTGTGTGCTACACCGAACTTCCTATAAAAGCTCTATAGTTTGCCGTTAGTTTCAGGGGCGTAGCCCGTTCCATTGCGCAGTTATGAGCACAAGTGCAAGTACCATTCCGCTGCATCTAACGTGAAAAATCGCATCCAAAGTTGAACTTCCGGTGTCAAATTTCAACCTCCGTATTCTCGTAAAAAGTCCGGGTTACAACATTACGCGTGCATCCGGCCGCATTAATTGATACGCCGCTAGGTAAACGTAGTAAAGGGGAATTCCCGTTTACGTGACTCCGTAAAAGGTTTGATTATTCCCGGGTCACGTTTCCTTGTAATTCCGCGTAACGACCGCAATAGTAATAGTACTTGCCTGGTACTCAGGGCCATAACTACGGAACGGAGTTAGTGCATCGACTGGCGCACATTATAGACGATAGACAGAGGTACTAGAATACGGGGAAAAACGGGAATCGGTGAATCACGTAGTTCGCCGTATAACCGCCGCTACTACAACAATACTACGTGCGTGATAAGGGTCGTTTTCTCAGAGCCTATCACAAATTATGAAATCAGCTTGTTCAGCACTAGACTGGCTGGATTTGTAAAATTACTAGGAATGCGCGCGCGCATATTTTGCCTCGCGCCTGCCAGCCAATGTGTAAACAGTTGCACGCGCTCTACTGACTGCGTGCGAAGCCAGACTTCCTACGAATCTGCGCGCACGGCGGAAGCTAGACTTCCTACGAATGACAGAAGTTACACTTCCTTTTGGTGACTAATTGACATTCCTAAGCGTGACTAATTGACGACACATACGTACGCATATCGCGAGAATACAACCCGGAGTAGTTGCCTCACGCTAACGCGCTCGGCAATTAAGTAAAAACCAAGTGTAAAAAGAAGTATGTTGCCATTGGATTCCACCGTAAGGTTCAACAATATTGCATGGGCATCAATTTTTCTCACATATTATGTGATTGCACATTTAAAAGGCCCGACTTTAATCCTTGGCGTGCCTGCACAGCAAGGGTTATAGTACTTTTCGTCAATCCGTAAGTCTGTCCGTCTATTTGTCTTTCTTTGACGTTTATGCCAGTGGCCAAAAAGTAGTACCAACAGGTTCAGTGCCACACTAACATATTTTGATTTTTGTAGAAATGTGTTCCAAAGATTATGGTGTGAAACCCCGTGAACTAGCCAATATGAAAAGCACTAAAGTGCAAACCCTCGGCGAACTGTGCCTGCGCGGTACCGCTAATTGATGGGCTGGGCTATTTGTAGTATGCGTTTACTCGTGGTCTCCCGCTAGTAGCTCGCGGAGAGTCTGACACGGGCTAGCTACAGTAGTAGATAGCATGCGGAAGTCGATACACGCTCTTCGTTGTGACTTCATGTGCCTTCAAGATACACAGGGCCAGCGGACCCGGTCAAGGTAAGCCTGTGCTAATTAGCATATTGGCTTGTTCACTTGCTTTTCACGCCATAACTTTAGAACGCAGTATTTTTACTAAAATTGCCATTTTAAAAATGAAGCCAGTGTAGCGCTGAACCTGTTGGTGTCGCTTTTTGGCCGGTTTGTTGCGCGTGGTGGCAGAAAACGTGGTAAAAGACACACACACAGACAGACAGACACACAGAACGACTACTGTAACCCTCACTGCGCATGCGCGCCGAGGGTTAATTAGTGATGGCTTATGCGATCTGATCCTCTGTGTACCTAGGAGCACGAGAAGTCACAAATAGTACTTACTGGTACAGACTTTATTTATGCACTCATAATCAAGTCTTTCCTGAAGTACCTTAATGCCTTGACTTCAAAACCTCCCAGCTTTGGCTAGTCAAAATAGTCAGTCAGTCAATAGCTGTTAGAGAGATTTTCCGAGATGAATTCATGGCTTGGCAAGCAAAGTGCATTCCATTATTGTCTCTCTGTAGAACATGAAATTTTGACCATCCATCACCCAGAGTTAGTTTGCGTGGACATCCCATTTCGTAGATAGATGCTCCATCTGGGAATAAAAGACGCACACATGTTCTACCAGGCGAAAGAATGCAGCTCTTATGTAATAGTGCGTCCAATAACAGGGGTGCAATCTAACATTTTAACTGGCCAATAGGGTTAGTAAGCTCTCAATTCTACTAGCCCAACAACTTTCACACTATTTATTGAAGGCACAGAATCAATTACACATTATCACAAACAGTGTTTTCATCTGACTGTCTAGGTTTTTTAGTTGGAGGTTCCTGTACTCCTTCCAAATACCTCCACATGGTTGTCAAAACAGTACAAAGCACACCGCATGCACTTGTGTAAACTACATAGTACGCATGCGCGAAGATCAGACCCCGCCCCCATGCGCGTATTCGATTGCCAGTTCGCCGCGGCGAAAACGCTGGCTCACGTCTACTATATGCCGAACTAAACCACGTTATTACAACTTAACTTCGCTATTACAATTCCACTAGTGTGTCTCTCGCCAGCCAGGCGACCGCTTTAGGCATTAGCGCCCATAGTTTACCCGCCGCAGGCGGGCGGGCGTGTGCTAGTTTGAAGCCCTGCACCTGATTGTCCTTGCATGCAAGCCCTGAACTAATGGTGTCAGTTTCTCACTCTAAATCGGCAGTGCATGGGCTTCACACACTAGGCCTTCGTTTTTGGAGAACATAGTCTAGTACACTAAGAATCTGACATAGGCTAGCAACACTAATACTCGCCTCCAGGTGTCAAACCTCTGTACTGTTTTTATTGAAGTTTGCAAACTGATATTCTAGCAGTTCATGATGATGATGAGTTTATGATGGAAACTGACAAAGATGCTATGGAGGCAGAATGTCAGGTATTTACAAAATTCATAGTTGGCGAACATAAGTTAGCAAATTTTGTTTGCATAAGTCTAAAACAAATATTGTTCTTTTGTGTGGCTCAAGCATTGAGTTTTTCTACTTATTCCCTTTATCTTCTTGCCCTATGAATTACTTTTCTACAGCTGAATACTAGGTATAAGTTATATTTCAGACCTTGTTTCTGGCCCACTGAATAAACCCATCTTGTCGTACTATTTGCTTAATTGTGTTTTTAATTTTGCAGTTTCATTTTTGCTCATGCATGATTTACCTGTAAACCTGGACCTCAATGTTTGCATTACGATCTAAACAAATTCTCACCAATTCGCATGAGGAGTAAAGCGTTATTTAACATTGAGAAGCATTTGCTAGCACACACAACCAACTCAGTAGTCCATTTACATCTATAAACATTTGCCAGCCCACACCACCAACTTATTTCACTGTATTAAAATTGAGAAACATTTGTTAGCTCACAACACCAAGCCAAATACAATAGGCTGTCCTAGTTTTGTCACTCTACGATCTGTAAGAAATATACTACCAATAATAATTTTTGCCCAATAGTGTAGGTCTATCTCAAGCTAGAACTAAGGTTGCACTTGGCTACACTGAAAGTCTTTGATTCAAGGCTTCCATACAGTAAACCAGTGAAAACTGCAAATGGACCAGTTTAAAAGTCCGTGACCCTGTCTCTTCAAAAGTGCGCTGTGTATTGCACATATTTTTGGTAGTTCGTGAACAGAACATAATAGACCTCTTTACTATTTCATGTTGGGCTCATAAGGATCTGAAGTGGTTAAAATACTTTTTGAGTTTTCAGATATTTTACCAAAAGAGGAAGTATAACAATATAATGTTTATGCAGATGTACTGGAACTATATTAAACACATGCTTACTAACCTTGGACCGCTGTCACTTGAGAGAATCCATTCAATGCTTGAAATATTTGGAGTACAAGGACATACCAAGAAAAAACTGGCAATAACTTATCTCAGAGCATTTCTCAATAACAAAACATTGCAGCAGCAGATTTGTTTTGAGAATGGATCTTATAGTCTTTGTAAATAAAAGTGTTTGTGCTAACCAAGTTTGTAATTACAATGCATCATCAAAGCCATCCATTATCATCTAGCAGTGCTATGCAACTGTTGCTGTTGCTCTCACACTATCTATGACTTTTTGACATGTAATTCTAGTGGTTAGCTGCGTGTGCATGTACAGAGACTGCACTCAGATGAGAAAGGGGTCGGTCTCTGAAAAAATTAGTAGCGTGAAATATTTAGGTATTCTTAGTAGTAGAGCATGGTAGTGGCACAATGACATGGCTCTGGAACTATATGCTGGTATGACTCATTTCCTAACCACATGAGAAAAGTAATGCACTTTCGTTTCCTCCTCTGGCATCTCCTCGGTTTTAATTGTGACTGCATCGTGTGCAGTCTAAGGCATGTTTACTCGACTAACCAGTTTAACACTGCTGCGTTTTTAGCACTCTACAGAATCATTTCGTTCTCTCCTTTACGTTTGCACCACATTAACATGCATGGTGTGTCATAAAAGGGGAACTATTTCGAGGCATAATTCCCAAAAAAATTGGTATTGGTGGCATTTTACAACAGCAAATTCTAAACCACTATGCTATAGCACAGAATACTCTGTTTCAGTATGTACATAGGAGCAGACCAGGGTAATTTAAAAAACCAAAGACGCCCAACTCCAATTAACTGAGTATGTGCTTGTATCAACAATAGAACTTGGTGCTATAATAAGAGTTCCCTGTACATAACTGCCTCAGGCAAATCCTCAAAGAAAACAATTACACCAGAGTGTTTCTGAGACTTAAAAAGATGAGCTGGGCTGGGTTGGATTCGCACCAACAACACTCTGTAGTCTAGGCGAGTGCTTCACCATACTGGTAGGGGTTTAAATCTTTGACTTTTATTCTTATGCCGTGTTCGCACTACAATCCACATTGAGCGCATGCGGATCTATGCGCATTGTATCCCATCCGCACTAGCCGGTTTAGAGATTATTGCGCGTGGCGCGTTAATTACTGCGGGATCAAAACAATGTCACGTGCAATGCGCGCGCCGCGTAAACATTGCGTAGTAACGCGCGGTTGTACGCGTGTTCGCAACGAACGATGGAAGCTACGCTCCTTTTTGCGGTGTTCCTGTGGAGTTTTTACTGGAGAATAAAGACTCAGAATGCAGACAATAGAAAAGAGAGCAAAACGATTGGAAAATAGAAGGAAAATTAGAAGAGAGGCATTTCTTGCAGAGAGAAGGCGTAGGTAAGTATTAGTGCTTCTCTAGATGCTGATGAACCAACGTCCCGAATTACGCGCCGTTTTGCGCAGAGACATGCGGCGCGCGGCGAGCCGTATGCGCGTGAATGTCACGTGTTACCATAGCTCAATTATAGAGCCGATTCGCATGAATTCGCATTGAAGACCTAGTGCGGACGGGATTGATGCGCGTCAACACGGGTTCATAAGGTAAGTGCGGACACGCCTTTAGAGGACCTAGCATAAGCTAGTTATAGCAAACACACCAGGGTTGTTTTGCCTGAGGCTGTTTGTTACAAACTTGGTTCATAAACTATTCTAATGGGTATGCAACTATACCAATTTTCATGGTTAGAGAATGCAGCACAATCATTACTGAATTGCCTGAGGCAGTTATGTACAGGGAACTCTTATTATAGCACCAAGTTCTATTGTTAGTTGAATGAGCATAAGCCACAAACCCCTGAGCTAAGGACACCTCTCTATAGAAAAAAAACTCACCATTAGGTTTCTACTCTGCCTTTCCAGTGGTAAAAATACTGCGTGACTATGTTCGTTGAATTGAAGAACTGACAGGTTGTATCTGCCTACTACTGCTTTAGGAAAGGGTTTACGGTAGCGACTGATGCAGATGAGGAGCTATCCGGTCACGGAAGCAAGTAGACCAGAAGATGCAGCCTGTGCCCTATGCCAGTTCAACCAAGTGAGACCCTGGCTTTGGTCTGGGGGATTATTACGTTCTTCCACAGTGGTGACATTATGTCGTTACAGATCAGTCTATCCTGGAAGCACCTAACCCAACTGCAAAACACACACAAGGTGTTTACAGAGCTAGGCCTGAGAATGAGGAGGTTCAGAAACATTGTTGTTAGATCATGGCATTAACCTTTTGTCGCACTTGATGCCAAACTCCTTGGGATAGAAAAGCTGAACACAACCTCTTACCATCCAGAATGTTGCAGTATGGTTGAACAAAGAGAAAGAGTGCAGGTACCATACATATCCCACAACTTCTATGAGCCTACTGGAATGGACCATATGACACAACTGGTGAGCATTTCTTAGTTTGAATGGGACTCGTTCCCCGAGTGAAGCAGCTCTGCCATGGCACAGCCTGTAAGTGTTACTTGGTGTAACAAGACTGATGTAACTGAAGTTGTTTAAAAGATCATACACACATTGTATCAACTTAAGAGTCGAGCCAGGCCATTGTTGTTTTACTGCTGGCTTATACTGGTATGGTTTTAGATGTGAAGCACCAGGTCATTGTTGGTGGATCCAATCCGAGTATCTTGGCTAGGTACGAAGTTGATTGAAGTTGAGTCTTCAGAGCTAACAGGAGGTGGTAAGGAAGGGGTCATCACATGTGCCAGTGGGTGTAGTCTCTCAGTGCAGGGACCATTGGTGAAGCAGGAACTGTGTCAGGAGTTTCATTCTGTTCTTGATCAGAGTCTCGGCTGGGTAAGACATCACGTATATTCGCAGAGGCATAACTGCAGCCCACCTGATCAGCATACTTTGGAAGAAGCTCGGGATGGGCTCTTTCATGGTAGGGGTAGATGAAGCGTTGTTGAGTGTTTTCCTATCTTCAGCTGTTCTATGTATAGCAATTTTATGTGGTCTATAATGTTCAGCATTAGTACCGATCCGAGCAACTTACAGGTTGCTAGTGGTAGTCCAGGATGTGCACAGAGGTTAAGAACAGAGCTCCAGAGGAAAGGTAACCTTAAGCAATTGCGGTAGGGTGTCATTACTGTTCACAGAGCTCTAGCACTAAAAGTTTTTATCGAAGTAGCAGAACAGGTGTACTCATCCTTTTGAGTCTGAATAATGTGGTTTAGCGTGACAAAGTTGGCTTATATGAGTGAGGGATTGTTTGTTGTAAGGGTAAGGGGTCACGAGAGTGAAGGAAACCGGAACCCAGCAAAAATGCCTTTACTTGCGAATCCACCTGTGCGTGATACCTTCAGTGGCAGAGCTGGGGAAGGCGAGACAATGCAGCTAAGAGGTACAAAGAAGTGGTGAGTAAATCAGAGCATCGGCAGATGCTCTATGACTATGTAGGGATGAGACAGATGAAATCTCACGTGACCTGCGTGTAAAACAGTTGCAAACTCACTCCATACCAGTTAAAGGCATTTCATCTTTCCTCACGGCTCTGTGGCGAGCTCTGACTTATACACATGCACGACCTCTGACCTATGCACGTGCATGGAACATTCGAGAACTTATGTAGGGCATATATAAGGTGCTTTGTATGTGTATTGAATCAGTCGGATGCTATTTTGAGTCGCTACATATATGGTGACTAGGACGTGATCCGAACAC